TCTTTTTTCTGTGTCCAGGAGGGTCTTGTGTCCTTCGAGGAGGTGGCTGTGTATTTCTCTGAGGAGGAATGGTCTCAGCTGGATCCTGACCAGAAAGCGCTGCATTCGGAAGTCATGCTTGAAAACCATAGGAACGTGGTCTCTCTGGGTAAGATTTTTCTAGTCCCAATTCAAGAAGAGAGATTATAATTAGTTTTTTTATTAAAAAAACACTAATCAAATATTGTCTCCTGGGAGGGAGAAGGAAAGGATCTGGCCTTGTCGTGCTCCAAGGAAGGAAAGAGTCAATGTCTCTTTCCTTAGATGCTTTCTCTGCCGTTTCTTATCTGTGTTTTTTCCATTTCTATTTGAACTTATCTGTGGAGGCTGAAACGAATGAGGTGTACTTTTATGTGGAGGTCATGTGAGAGGAGTGTGTTGTCATTTCTCCTCTGAAACCTCTAAATTATGTGAGAACAGAACTTTCATGCTCAACCCATGGAAGAGCATTCTGTCAGCGTTCCAGAAAAACTCAACTCCATTCAAAAACTCCGAGACAGACAAGTTCTCAAAGTTCCTGTTATTAGAGTAGTAAACTGGTACATCTGGGAAATCCCAAATCTGAAAATTCCAGGTTTCCCTCCAATAAGTAAAAAATTACAAATCCACTCCCTGCTCACATCATTCCATCACATGCCCCAATCACCATCCGTCCCATCTTGAGGTGTCCCTTCTACTCCTCAACCAGGTGCAGGAACAACATGACCTTGACTGTAATGAAGAATGCTATTATGTCTAACCACATACACTCCATGAAATTCCCCCCTCCCATCTTCCCATGCTCAAGAATGTGGCAGCATGGAAGCTTCAGTGCTAATATGGCTTCCAAGGCTGACACATTCTCCCAATCCAAGAACAAAGGCCTCATGCAGTGTGACTCAGAGCATCCTAGACCAGGGGTCTTTTGGACCTCAGGGACCACCAAAGTCATAATTTTAAATCCCAGGGACCATTAACTGGTTCTGTGGGCATGGCCTAATTTGTGGGTTTGGCTTGGTGGTCATGTGACTGGCTGGGCATGGCTTGTATGTAAATATAAGTATGTATATAAATTTTATATGTATGTATATAAATTCTTTTTATAAAAAAAAGAGCAACTTTTACCCAAAATCAGGCAAAGCAGTCAGGCAGATTGAGTTGCTCACAGAATCACAGATTCATTCAGAGATCTATCTATCTGCCATTGGCTAGTTCAGTCTGTCACATAAAATTTGCTTGCAAGCAAACTCACAAAATTAACTCACAACACACCATGTATGTAAATATTGATTTTTTTTATAAAAAAGGAGCAACTTTTACCCCAAAGCAGGCAAGCAGATTGAGTTGCTCACAGAATCATTCAGTGATCTATCTATCTGCCATCGGCTAGCTCAGTCTGTCACATAAAATTTGCTTGCCGTGAGTCTGCACTGAATAATAGAACCTTCAGTCCTAAGGGAGGTTCGGCTGTGCTTAAAAGCAGAGCCGAAGATCTAAATACTAGCTAGAAAGTAAGAAATCCAACCATTTCCTGCGTCCTAGCTAATCTAAATCTCCTGGCATAGCAGAACAGCTGATGGTCTGAAAAATAGCAATTTAGCAGGCAAGTTTGCCGGGTAAGGAGTGAGTGGGCCGGGAGAGTTCCCGTGGGCCATGTGGGCGGCGCAGCCTTGTGTTTCTGCACAGCCTGGATTAATTGCTTTTGGGGGGAGGGGTGCTCTGGGGGTGAAATTTCTCTGCAGCCCACCAAAATTTTCTCACGGCCCACCAGTTGGCAACCCCTGTCCTAGGGTACAGGTAATCCCCGAGTTATGACAGTTCACTAGCGACCATTCCATATTACGACCAGCCCTCCCCCAAGTACTTGAGACCCAGTCCCAAAATTATGGGTATTGCAGCATCACGGCCATTGTTCATACTTACAAATGACAGTAGAGGCTCTGCAACATTCACCCTACCTATCCTCCCACCCTATTCAGCTGGGACTTACTGTATTTTTTCAGACTAT